GGGCTCAGGTAGTTGAGCACCTGACTCTCGATTTTTAGCTCAGAGTCATGTGATCCCAGGAGGTTTGAGATGAGCCTATGTTGGGGCCCTCCTGCTTGGCCAATCCACACACCTCTTTTCTCTCTCTCTGTCTCTCCAAAATAACTAAATAAGCGTTAAAAAAGATTCTTTCCCTCTGCCCCCTCTCCTGGTTTGAGCTCTGTCTCTCTGCAAAAAGAAATACAAGAATAAAAAATCAATCAAAGGCACTAATGAGTGTAAAATTCTTTGCTTTCTTGAACCTGGCACCCTGGCCAGGGGTGGAGCCCTCATCTCATCACCCGGGCCATGAGCTTGAAGTAAAGTAAAGGACCTGCGTAGTGTGGGGGTAGGGGCAGGTGTGTGTTTAACCACCAGTATTTGGGTAGAGGAAGAAAATCAAATAACTCCAGCTGGCAGGACAAGGATATTTCTTGAGTTTAAAGTTACCTTCTTTTTTTTTTAAAAAATTAGGGGTCTTGAGCCTGGGTGGCACTCGGTTAAGCATCGACTTCAGCTCAGGTCACCCGGAATCTCCGCAGTCCGTGAGTTCCGAGCCGTCGAGCTCTGGGCTGATGGCTTTCGGAGCCTGGAGCCTGCTTCCGATTCTGTGTCTCCCTCTCTAGCTGCCCCTCCCCCACGTTCATCTCTGTCTCTGAAATAAATAAATGTTAAAAAAAAATTAAAAAAAAAAAAATTAGGTCTTATCAGATGGCCAACAGACACATGAAAAATGCTCCCACATCACTCATCATCAGAAATACAAATCACAACCTGACAATGAGACTACTGCCCACCTGTCAGGAATGGCTAACATGAACAACTCAGGCAACAACAGATGTTGGAGAGGATGCAGAGAGAGAGAGGAACTTAGGCACTGTTGATGGGAGTGCAAATTGCAGCCACTCGGAAAACACTGTGGAGGTTCCTCAAAATTAAGATCTACCCTATGACCCAGCAATAGCACTGCTAGGAATTTACCCAAAGGGATGGGGTGCTGATGCATAGGGGCACCAGCCTTTAATGTTTGTAGCGCACTTTCAACAATAGCCAAAGTATGGAAACAACCCAAATGTCCATCAATGGATGAATGGATAAAGATGTGGTATATATACACACACAATAGGTATTGCCTAGGCAATCAAAAAGATGAAATCTTGCCATTTTGCAACTTCTGTGATGGATGGAACTGGAGGTATTCTTAAGTGAAATTAGTCAGTCAGAAAAGGCAAAAATCATGTAACTTCACTCATATGAGGACTTTAGAGACAAACAGATGAAGATAAGGGAAAGAAACAAAATAATATAAAAACAGGGAGGACAAAACAAGGCATGTATGGAGAAACAAACAGAGGGTTGGGGGGGGGGTTGTAGGAGGGGGGATGGGCTAAATGGGTAAGGGGCATTAAGGAATCTACTCCTGAACTCATTGTTGCCCTATATGCTGACTAATTTGGATGTAAATTAAAAAAATAAAATAAAATTTAAAAATATAAGGGGTCTTTAGGCTTAAAATCCAGTTATCCAATTAAATGAAATGTCACAACAGGTACAAACACCTCTTGGATGTCCCGCTCTATGCTGGACACTGAGTGGTGGGGGCTAGAGAGGCCTGGCACACGGGCTCACTGTCCAGGTTGCAGGGCATAAATCACTTGGAGAGAAGCCAGAGGCTGGGAATGGCTCTAAGAGCAAAGGCAAGTGCTGTGCGGGGGTGGAGGGTGGGCAGGGAAAAGGGCTGGGCCCTGATGCGACGTGCACCCTGCCTGCAGCCTTTCGGGTTCTCTGTCTACCTCTGAAGCTCTTAACACCCCTCCATTTTTAAATTTGTCACCAAGAATCCATCTGCGACCGTGCAACTGTGTGTGTGCGTGTGTGTAAGAAGGGGGTGTCGGCTGGAGGGTAGAAATGACAGGTAAGAGCGGTCTGCCTCCTCACATTTTCGTAACTTAAAGAAAAACAGGAGGGAATGAAGAGCTGAGAAAGGAAGTGACAAACACCCACTCACGTACACTTTGCTCCTTTTTGGATCACGGGTCCAATGATTAACTTTATAATGTTTTCTCTTGCAATTTTAGGGAGCGCAAGAGTATTGCTTCTTCAGCCACTCTTTATCCTTTGAACCCCAGAGGCTCCTCCCTGCTGGGGACAGTCCCAGCCCCATTAGGATGGAAAAGCTCTTGCAGCCAGAGCACAGCCTGGGTCGGACCACCTCCTGTGAGCGGGGACCCTCTCAGTCGGGGGTCCGACACCTGCTGCCCTGCTGTCCCACCTCCTCCTTCCCCGGCCCCAATTCTGACTTCATCTTTGCCCCCATCCTTCCCACCCCTCCCCGCCATACATGGCAACCCACCTCCTCTCTCCTGACACTTCCTCCCATCTGGGAGGTGGCCCATGAGGAGTGTCCCTCACCCCACATCAGCCACCGGCACTCACTGCACCCTTACCTCTCTGACCTCCCCAGAAAGAGCAAAGGCTTTGAAGTCAGACAGAGTGGGGCGGATTTGACTGCCACTTACTAGGTCTGTGACCTTGGGCAAGTTACTTAGCCTCAGTGCGTGCGCCTCAGCTCCCACATCTGTAAAACGGGATCAGAGGGTTCTTGTGAGGACTGAGATCAGGTCTGGAAGGCACTCACAGAAGACGTTCGTAAATATTATCGTGTGAAGTTGCACGTTACGTGAAGGAAGGCTTCAAGGTGCAGGTGACATTTGAGTTGGGTTTTGATGGATGGAGTCTACTTTCTGTGCAGAAGGCATAATAGCTGCCCAGGGAGGTATGAAACAGCGCAGCATGTTTGGAGGAGTAAAAGTAGTTTCGAGTTGCCAGGAAGTGAGGTTCCAGGGAAGTAAGAGGAAATGCAGCGAAAGAGGGGAGCAGGAACCAAGTTTCAGATGCCATGTTGGTAGTTCTTGGGCCACCGTGTGCTCTTCTGTGTGAGGCTTCTTCTGGCCGCCCTCTTTCTAAGCCACTCAGCTGTCACCAAAGCCCTCAGCCTCTGCAGGCCCCATCATGCAGGACCTTTGCACGCACCACGCCCCTGCTGGGAGTGCCCTCGCCTCAGTCCTGCCAGGACACTCCTGCCTCTTCCAGAACCTTCTGCCACTCACTTGTGCTGAAAGGAAGTGTTCCTTCTCTGAAAGTCAGTCACTGCCACTCTATCCCCAGGACCTGGGCTGCGGACTCCGATACCTAGTGCTGAGGTCCCCGAAGGACACTTCCATTGCCAGCCTCTGGGGTCCTGTTTTTGGTTCAGGAAGTAAAGCCCTCAGACATGGCTGTCACACGACACAGGCCACTAAATGAATGGCTGTGGCCTCGGCCAGTAGTAGGCACATCTCTGGCATGTTCTGGCTCCCACTTCCAGGGGAGGAGCTCAGGCAAGGCTAAATAAAGGAACACATGTTTGCTTCTCCCTGTGTCCACAAACTTCTTAAAGACAGGGCCTGGCACATAAGTGTTCAATACATGTTAAGATGTTGAGCATCTGCCTCTCAGACAGGCCCAGAATTTACCAGTTTATGGGCACTTGTACCCCATGCTTTGATTGCACAGTCACAGGAAACCTAAGGCAGAGATCACTATTGTTAATGTTCTCGAAGCAGACACGAAGGCCAGAGAGGAAAAGTGACTTGTCCAGAGCCACACAGCAAAATACAAAGAGAGTTGGATGCTTGAACCCAAACCTCTGCCTTCACGCCCACCTCCTCCAGGAAGCCTTCCCCCTGTTCTCAGGAAGGGACGTTATAGACCATCCAATCCCCCCCCTTTCTGCCCCTACTTCACAGAGGGGGAAACCACAGCCCAGAAGGGAAGGCCCAGGAGGGCCCCCTGGCTCCTAGCTCAGGGCCCTTTGGGCCCTGCCCTGCTGCTGGGACCACACTGAATACACGCTACACTAGCCGTGCCTCCCACTGTGGAGGCATGCTCGAATGCTCGAATGCTCGAAGCTGGCATTCAGGGTCTGGGGCTCAGGCTTTAAAACAGAAAACCTGGGTCCCTGTGGACCTCCCGCGATAAGCACAGCTACCCCCAACCTGGGGCAGAAGAGGCTTTTCTGGGAGGTTCTGAGGAGGCTCTCTCAGCCCCGGAGAGGCAGAGGTCATCTGCAACCTTGCATCTCTGTGCCGGCTCTATTCTAAGTGCTTTCCAAATATGAGGTCTTCATGGCGACATCAATCAAATGGGAGCGCCCTCATCTCACAGCTGAGGGAGCTTAGGACGGAAGTACCATTATTATCCGCATTTTGCAGGGAGGGAAATGGAAGTTAGGTGGCGTTAAGGATGGACCGGAGGTGAGAGGTGTCTGGGGTTGGGATGTGAACCTGGACTATCTGACCCAGAGCCTACCGTCTTGACCTCTAGCCTGCGCTGTTTTCTTTAACCCAAGTCCGTGCCCTCTACCCCACATTCCCCGAGGTCTGGACCCCACATTTCCTCTCTGAAGCTGGAAAAGGCTTTGGGTGGAAAAGGCTCTGAGGGAGGTGTGCAGAAGCTTTGTGAATGGAGCCCCGGGTGTGTGAAGGCTTACTGTTATTTATATGTCACACATCTAAGCCATTATACAACATCCTCCTTATCAGCCAAACCTTGCCTTTGAGGAAAAGTCATGGTACCTCTCTGAACTCTGGTTTCTTTTTCTGTAACAGGAGGATAATGCCCTTACATCATTACACTTGCTGGGAGGAGCGAGACGAGAAGGGTGGGTCGGCCAGGCTGATTTTGCAGAGTTGCCAAAAGAGAAACCTAGGCAGGCCTTCCCGCTAGGAAGCGGGTCCACGCCCTAGCCCCGCAGGGAAAAGCTACAACAAGCCTGGTCTGGGCCCCAGGGCCTGAGGGATGCTGGAGAGGAGGGGCGCACCGAAAGCTTATTCCGGAAGCCAAAGGGCCAGGGTTTGGGGAGGGTCTGGGGTGCGGGGGCGTCCCTGTAGACGTTGGGGGCCACGACCCCAGCCCTCCCGGCCTGGGGAGGGTTCACCCACCTGCTGCCCGTAGCCCAGCGCCTTGTCGTAGAGCGCGATGCCGGCGGCCAGCACCCGCGCTCGCTCCTCCGGGCTGGCGCAGCCCACGTCGAAGCCGTGCGCGTAGCCCTGCTCCGCCAGGCAGCGCGCGGCGCGGAGCCGAGGGTCCCCGGCCGCCTGGCCCTCGGCCGCCAGGCCCATGAGGCCGGCCAGACGCCCGGCGCACGCCTCCTCGTCTTCCTCCTGGCCCAGCCTACCGTACACGTGCACCAGGTTGGCCCAGGCGTTGAGGTTGCCCGGGTCCTCGCGGGCCACCTCGAGGAAGCGCTCGCGGGCCTCGTCCAGCTCCTCCAGGTAGAAGGCGAAGGCACCTAGGAGGTGGCGCACGGCGGGGCGCTGCGGGGCGGCCGCCAGCTCGAGCTCCTGCCGGAGGCCGTCCCGCTGCAGCTTCAGGTCCCGGGCGCGGAGCGAGGCCGGCGAGCGCGGCTCAAAGTTCAGCTGCATCTCCAGGTGGAAGTGGCCCGGCAGGTAGTCCAGGTCGTCGACGAGGGCGTCCAGGTCCTCGGCCGCGGCCTCTGGCTCCGCCATGGCAGCCCCCCTGCTCCCCGGGCCTCGCCCCTACCCCCGGAGGCTGCGGTGAGTGGGGTGGGTGCCGTGGCCGGGGCGAGCCCGGCGCGGGAGGCGAGGGGCCGCGCGGGAAGGCACAGGGTACTGCCGCCTCCGGCTCCCCGGCCGCCTCCCGCTGGTGGGAGGGTCTGAGCTTCGGCTCCGGGAGCGCCCTGTGGGTGTGTCGGCTTTCGCTGCTCAGCGGCCCTAGGATGCACGCATTGCACAACCAGGTATGCCAGGAAAACAGGTGCATTGCCAAATGCGGGGCGCGCGAACCCCGGTGCGTGGCAAAAGGCCTGGTTTTACTCTCTCCGCTCAGCAGGCGGGAAACGGGCTGGGGAGGAAAGGACTTGCCCGGGTCACAGAACCGAGCTGGGCCCAAGCATCCTGGAACCCAGCTGGCTGAACCCCAGCCAGGCCCTTTCTCCGCGGGCGCTGCCGCACTCTCTCTGCCTGAGCTCGCTGACTAGGAGGGCCGGGACTGGCCCTTCCAGCGGCCTGTGGAAGCCGCCCTCACTCCTGCTGTCCCCACCCTCTCCCAAGTGCCCGTGTTCTCCTTCCTCTGAAGGGAGCCGGCCACTTCTCTCGGCTCTTCCTTAGGCCGTTAATAAATAATGGCTTCCCCACTTAGGATTTCCCTGCCTCCTCTGCCCTGCCTTTGCCATCCCTAATAATCTGTGACCTTCATAAGTATGAGTCACTTCATGATTGCATACCTCACACTTTCCTTATCTGTGACATGAGGGTGACATTCTCTCCCCTAGAGGTAGGGCAGATATCAAGGGTAAACCTGGTGAATGCCACTCTGGACAGCTGCCAGCAGCTCCCACTCCACCCCCTTGGTTCCCATTCTATCCCATATGCCCCCTGTGGCCCAGTTTTCTTGCTCTTGCTGGTCTTTTCCCAGGACGGGCACTGGTTCCCTACCGTCTAGAAGGCAGGGCTGTACTCCCTGCTGCAAGGCGGCTGGTCCTCCAATGCTTGGGCTTTGTAGCCTATCTGAGCTTCTGAGACCCTCCTGCCCCTCCTTCCACCTGGGCAGGGCTCCTGACACCCTGTGTCTCCAGCCTCTTGAAAAAGAGACCAGCGTTTTCAAAAGAGGAACTCAACCCCCTGGGGAAAAGCATGCCTTGAGCAATAAAAAGGTAAATTCAAAACATCATCCCGGTGCTACTTCTCACCTGTAATTTTAAAATATGAAACTTAACGAGTTTTCGTCAACAAGAATTGCTCTAAATCGCTGGTGCCCGTGAGATGACCCCTGGGCTCCGGCCTTCTTGGAGGCATCAGGGATGGATTCCCAGAGTGCTTGGCTCTCCCCCACCCCGCCTTTTGATTGTGGTAACACCTGCTTAGCCTGAAACTGACCATTTTAACCATTGTTAAATGGTTACATTTAACATGTACAGTCAGTAACATCAAGCACATCCCTTTTGTTGTGCAGCCATCCCCACCATCCTTCCCCAAAACCTTTCATCTTCCCAAAGGGAAACAGTGCCCATGAAACAATAGCCCCCTGATCCTTCGTTCCCCAAGCCCCTGGTAACCACTGTTCCACTTTCTGTCCCCCTGAATTTGAATACTTTAATTACCTCCTGTAACTAGAATACTATAATATTTGTTCTTTTGTGACTGGCTCTTTTCACTCAGCCTAAGGCCTTCAAGGTTCATCCGTGTTGTCACAGGGTCAGAATTTCCTTCCTTTTTAAGGGTGACCGATATTTCATTGTATGCATGTAGAGACCACATTTTGTTTATCCATTCATCCGTCGGTGGACGGGTGGGTCGTTTCCACCTTGGCCGTAGGGAACAATGCTACGACGGACATGGGTCTGCAAATACCTGTTTCTGTCCCTGCTTTTAGTTCTTTTGGCTATATACCCAGAAGTGAGAAGACTCGGTCATACCGATGTTTAGTTTTTTTGAAGAACTATCATACTGTTTTCCGTAAGAGCCACATCATTTTACATTCCCACCGACAATGCTCAAGGGGTCCAATTTCTCTACATCTTTGCCAGTACTTGGTATTTACTGTGTTGTTTTTTTTTTAGTTCACCTGTTTATTTTGATAGAGGGAGCACACACATATGCGCAGGGGAGGAGCAGAGAGAGGGAGAGAATCCCAAGCAGGCTCTG